GAATATTTATAAATTTCGAATGTTACAAATCACTTAACTTCAGTGGATTCTCATTGGACATTAGTATTTTTACGAAAACATTACCTAACTTCAACGGACCAACAATTCACTGTGTGTGGCAAAGGTCAAAGCTATCTAGCTAACCGGCGAATCGTATCTACATCGACTTGAAATTAACTCGCTCATCGTAAACCCTCGGATAAGATATCACGGGAGTTCCAAACTAAAAAGAAGATTTTACATTGTTTACAAGTTTGTGAAACTTTTGTTTATAAATCTTTGTTTGTAGTAACTATTTGTAATAATTGTTATTGTAAATTGTAATGTTGTGAGTATATTAAAATGTATTTGTGTTAAAAACGAAAACGGTGTGTTTTAATCTTGTTGGCAAATATCGTAAATTGACTAATATATCGGCATATATTTAAATACTAAATCCAAAGTACAATCTAACTACTAAATTTAAATTATTTAACTCGGCTTCGGACTATTCGAAATTTTAATACGTAACAGGCACAAGGTAAACTAACCCTCAAATATCGGGAAGTTGGTGAATGAAATGCTAATTTAAGAACAAGGGTGGTAAATTTCAAGAACATCTGAAAAAAAGCGTCTTGCCTGCTTTTCCTCTGCAAAATATTAATTATTATCATCTATATACTTATTTTGTATTTCTTCATGCAGCCAACCTTCATTGATCATTTCTAAACACCGTGATTGTTTTCCAAAGTTACTCTTTTCGAATTCGCTTCCGGATTTAAGGAATTTTCTGAAACCTTCAACCAAAATAACTGCCAGATTACGTTAGGCTAGACCTAGAAAACCATCAGATATTCACAGTTCATTCGGCTAATAAAAAATCTTTCATCAGAGGGGCGAAGATAAACAACAGTTTCTGAGCACCCCCGGTTATCTTTCAGGTTTCAGAAATTTATATTTGTTTTTCATACCTGAAGTAATTCAAACCGTTATACCTGACAATAATAAGATTAACAGATACAATTAAATATCTTACAAAATTGCTTTGAAGTTCAAATTCCCATAAGTAAAATAGACGAATTTAAAATAACATCATTCAAACTGAAACTAATTAACAAAACGAAATTAAACATGAGTAAAGCTAACATCAAATGAAAAAAAAAACTAAATAAATGTAAACATAAGGAATAAGAGCTGATAGAAGAACAAAGGAAAGGATCCAAGTTAACCTTATCTGTAGGTTAGGAGTGGTACATTTAAAGTACTGGCTGGTAGAAGAACAAAGGAAAGGATCCAAGTTAACCTTATCTGTAGGTTAGGAGTGATATATTTAAAGTACTGGCTGGTAGAAGAACAAAGGAAAAGATCCAAGTTATCCTTATCTGTAGGTTAGGAGTGGTACATTTAAAGTACTGGCTGGTAGAAGAACAAAGGAAAGGATCCAAGTTATCCTTATCTGTAGGTTAGGAGTGATACATTTAAAGTACTGGCTGATAGAAGAACAAAGGAAAGGATCCAAGTTATCCTTATCTGTAGGTTAGGAGTGATACATTTGAAACATTGGCTGGTTGAAGAACAAAGGAAAGGATCCAAGTTAACCTTATCTGTAGGTTAGGAGTGATACATTTAAAGTACTGGCTGGTAGAAGAACAAAGGAAAGGATCCAAGTTAACCTTATCTGTAGGTTAGGAGTGATACATTTAGGTTAGGAGGAAGTTAACACCATGGCTACACGTTACTAAGTTAGGAGGAAGTGAACCCAATGGCTACACGTTCCTACGTTAGGAGGAAGTGACCACCTCACATTCTTCCTATATACTGAACTACTTCTAATAAATTTAACGTAAGATAATACATAAGAACAACAATAAACCTGTTGGTCCATCTAGTCTGCCCCATTTCAGGGTCGAAATAACATAACACTTTAGGACAACAATAAACCTGTTGTATCATCTACTCTGTCCCATCCCAGGGTCGAAATA